TGTACAATTTCTCCTGATTTATTTTGTAGATGTGAGGTGTAAGAACAAGTTCTGGGGGAAGTCAATGGAGATTGTTCCTGTTGGTACCACTCATGTAACTCTGCCGGGGTGAGGACTAGACTGAAACACAATCACTCTGTGAATTAAGAAGCAATATTTACAGGTGTCAAGTAGAAAAAAGAAAGAAATAAGTGTTGTTTTTAATACTTTTTTTTAGATCTGGGGACCACTATGAGTGGAACAAGGTGACGTCCTGCATCCACAACATTCTCAGTGGACAGCGCTGGATTGAGCACTATGGGGAGATCTCCATCAGAAACTCCAGCAGTGATATTTGTCAGTGCAAGATCACGTTTGTTAAGGTGAGGCAAACATAAGCAAGGCTGCACTGGGCCAAAATGACCCCCTACCAGCAACTTTCTGATACTGGGGATGATGAGAAGCTTTACACAGAAAGTAACTTTGTTAGATCACAAAATTCAAATTTGTATATCATTAGTAAAATGGAGAATATCAATTCTTAAACTTTGTCAATTTTACTTCACTATCAACAAACATGCTGGCTCTGGAAACATGTTGGAGAAAACATATGAAAGCCCAAGTAGAACAGTTATATTTATCACACCTGCATACCATGTCCAGTCAAGTATATCCAGTACTGTAACATATAGTGATATATAAGCCACAATATTTAAGTATATTCTTTGTACTGTAGTGCTCTTATCTCTTATCTTATGTGTTAGATATTCTTCTGTGAACCCCATGGGGTTTGGTAAAAAAGGTATTTTTCCACATATAAGTCAACCACAGCCATAGTAAATGCTGTAGTCCCTTCGTTAGTCCAGAAACCTTCTACACAGATGGTGCTTTTCACCTGCATAGCAGCAAGAACCCCTCGATGTTTTAAATGTTTGATGTATGGAAGCCTTTACTGATAGGAGAAGGTTAATTGCTTTAGCGTGTGCCTATTTGAAAGACCTCCTGAAGTTATGCAGGATATCAAGTCAAGACATGTCAGAAGTCATTATGCTCTCATTAAACTCAGCAGCCCAGCAACACACATCTGCTGACTGCAAGAGGACAGTATCATGATCTCTGCAACTCTTCTCTGTGAGTCGAGGGGATATCTTTTGTGTAACACGATGGTCTTCTCCGACAATGGTTTTTACAGGCCAAATACTGGAATTCGAGTGTGAATGAGGTGGAGGGAACTATCACGGATAATAAAGGGAAGGTCATCCACAGACTCTTTGGAAAGTGGAACGAAGCCGTTTTCTGCGGGGACCCACCCTCAGCCACGTGCATCTGGAGAGCCAGTACGTCAAGTTTTTTTTCATAAGAATGCTTTGATAGCCTTTTCACAATGCGTATCTCCCTGTTACAGTATCTGATGCAGTGAATGTTATTTGTGTGCGATGTAGATGCAATGCCAGTAGACTATGAGCAGTACTATGGTTTCACCAAGTTTGCTATTGAACTGAACGAGCTGGACCCATCCCTGAAACTGCTGCTACCGCCCACAGACACCAGACTACGTGTGGACCAAAGGTAAGAAAAAACTGAAACAAACAAACAAAAATCTGTGTATTTACATGCAGTTAAGTAATGTGGCCTCCAACAACCAGGTTTCTTAAACATCCTGTTCTAATGAGAAACACATGTTTAAAAGATTTAGAGAAACCTGATTAAAAGAGTTACATTTTCTGCCAGAGAATTTTAATAGACACCTCTTTTATAATCTGACATCTTGGCTATCAATCATGTCCTCTCACCCAACCCTATGCTCAAAATAGCGCAAAAATAGGTGCACCAGTACTTATGTTAATAATAGTAAGTGACTGCAGACGCTTACAGGTTCATCAAGCTAATTTTAGCTCACATTTCTAAGGCTTAAAAGCCTGTAAACTGCCACAAAGCGCCACACACAGAAGAAGCAGTTGCCACTTTGCCATCAAAGTAAAAAATGACACTACAGTTATTTGTTTTGCTATTTGTCCATAATTAGGTTATCTTGCTGTAATGATACAAAGTCAAAAAAAACATTATTAAAGATTACATTTTAATATTGAAGATTGATGAACGTTTTTACCATATTTGCATAATTAATGTGTCTGTGTCTCGCTGGCAGACTGCTGGAGGAGGGGAAACTTGAGGCTGCAGAGGAGCAGAAACAGAGGATTGAGCAGCTGCAGAGAGAGAGGCGGAGAGTCCTGGAGGAGAACAACGAAACACATCAACCTAAATTCTTCAGGTAGCCTAAATATCCAGATGTATTAGTTTCTCACTAAGAAAGTCATTTATGTGAAAGCGAGCAGGACCTTGCTCCTAATAGGGGTCATATGCAGCTTGTAACTGTAATAGCAGTCTCACAATTTCAGTTTCAACGCACTCAACTATCATTCACAATTGTCTCGCTTTTCTTCTGCCTTCACAGGAAGTCAAAGGATGATACCTGGGTGAGCAACAACACATACTGGGAGCTGAGGAAGGACCCTGACTTCACCCATATAGATTTTCCTACGCTGTGGTGACCCCTGAAATGCAGATCACACACATTTTGACCTGCACAGCCTCTACTGTGATCCAGGCTGGTTCTGGTGATGTCTGTGTCCCAGTGTTACCATCCATTCAGTACTGGTCTTCTTTATTGCAGTTCATCAAAGTTATTGCCTTAATAGCAAGTGCTTATATATATAAGTTGTGTAAAAATGTTTATGCAAACATATTATGAGAATGTTGATACATTTTGGCAAATTTTGCCCACATTTTCACCTGATACATTGCATTGTATGACTTAAACTAAGAAAAGGAAAACTACGTGGTATAAAGGATGATAAATCCTTATTATAACTGGTGTACACTAGCCTAAACTGTACTGAACAACTGGTCACTTTAGCTGTCGTCTTATCATGGACATTCTCTACCTCTGAGATTAACTAGCCTTGATATGCCATTGATTAAGTGTCCACATCCGATATTTATTCTGCACCTGCCTGATGCCTTACTCGTTGTACTCATGTTGTTTAATTTATTTTTGTTGCATCTATGAGATCTTTAAAAAAAAAGGATGGAAGGAATTCTTAAGACCAAACAAGAATTGTTCAAATGATCTTTAAATCCTTACTCAACTTTTATTTCTGTCTCATAACAGTAGTTACATGCTTTTTTGCTATGACTGTGTTGAGTGATTGTGCAACTACGAGCAGCTGTAGCAAACATCAAATCCAGCCATTTTTCACTCTATCCATTGCACCATTGTCTACGTCGACCCTGGGCTTTGGGACCAAAAGTGTCCAAAACTATGCTCCATGAGCTCAAATAAAGTCTCTGATGCTTTCTTTTTGTGGAGTCATTTGTGACTAACCATTATTTTTACTTAACTGAGATGCTGACATGTAAATGTACAGAGGAAAGGGAAAAAGAAAACAACTGAGTCATCAGTTATAAACATTACATGTCCACAAAAGAGGAAGTCCATTTTGTGTCTTTTGAATTATTTTTCTCATTGCCATCATATCGTGTTCAACAACAATACCCCACAGACATCATGTTATGTTAGCTCTGGTATCTTGCGAGGCCATGAATGTTCAGTGTGTGTAGTAGAATTATCACCTTGAAAGAGCCCTTGCCAATGCTTTGTGTGTTATGCAACTATACACATTAATTATCTGATGTAACAAGTCTCTGAGGTGAGTCTCTATAACATTATAGATCCACCACTGTGTTTGCTTTGGGGGTAGGACAAGGGCGAAAGATCACTCAATAAATTATTTCGTTTTTTGCTCAGGGCTGCAGGTTTTGGGGTCCTCCTACCATGGTGATTTCATGGTTTGACCTTGACAGTGTTTTTTAAATAGGAACCTTGATATAAATACCATGTGCACTTCACAATGTTTTTATTTGGACTGTGTCACACAGATGTTGGGTGTTTACAGCCTCAAGTCGCCTTTTTGCTAAAAAACTCCACTTTGTGATTTAGCCACTTCACTGTGGTTAATGCTGTTATGTATTTCTTACTTCTTGTACATACTACTGTATGTTTTACTTTACTATAACCAAGGAATAATATACTAATTATGCAGCCCTGAAACAAGTAAAGGTTATCAGAAAATACAGAAGTGTTATAGGGAAGGAAAAGGATGCTGCTGACTTTGCCCTCTCTAGAGTCTTACCAGTTAATGGGTAGAAAAGATTTGTCCCAAGGCTGGGAAGAGACACAGGGTCATTAAAATCAAAAGAATCCGTAATTCAGAGAATCTGTGTACATAATTATCCTTATATGACTGGCGCAGTTAGTTACTGCCTCTTCTCGTCCAACATGTTTCATTGTGCCATTGACCAGCCACTAGGTGGCAACAAATAGCTATCGAAGACATCAGTGACATTTCACCAGTGGTGGAAACTGTGCTCAGATCTTCCACTTGCTTAAAGTAGCAATACCACCGTGTAGAAATACAAGTGGAAGTCTTTCAGTAAAACTTTATCATAATGCAGATTTACCCATTTCAGAAGAAGAAAAAACATATATTATGTTATTGGATTATAATTCAGGCACATTATTATTTGTGTAAAAATATAGTATCCAGAATGTTTTCAGAGGTGTTTGTTGATGTGTAAACTAGAGTATAAAATTAAAAAGTAAAAAGTAAAGTACCTCAAAATTAAGTAAGTAAAGCTTTATTTTACTTTCTTTTCTTTTTAAAACACACAGTTACAAAGTTCTTCACATACACACACAATCATACACATACATACAAACAAATGGTACCAGTTTGTACCACTGCATTTACATACATGGTATCAATGTAATACCAAAAGGCTCTATCTGTAAATAATGCTTAGAAATACTAAACTAAAACGGATAATCAATAAAAAATAAATCAATAAAATGTATTATCATTATTGTTGTTATTATTATTATTACAGATGTGGTTTGTGTGTTGACGCTGTCTTCAGTGACACACCCACAGGGCGGAGGGCGGAGTCTGTGGCTCTTTTGTCCACGACAGACGGAGACTCTCTGTGCAGCTGAGCCGACACTCATATGGGGAAGCACTGTGTCCTCTGAGACTTTCAGCCACAAACAAAGTTTCCCGTCTGGTTCAGTCCCTAAAAGAAAGTCCTTCGGGTAAGCGGTGACACATGCAGTGTTTGCATTTACTCTCATGTACGGTGATATTTCTGCCTTACAAGCAAACCTCTGATTTCGATTTCGAGAACAACTTAAGACTGGTGTTTGTTGCTGCTACTAGCATGTAGCATCGTTTTCAGTGTGCAGAAATGTGTGCAAGAGACTATTTGTTAAAATGTTCTATATTCCTTTGATTTTGCTTTATATGCTGTAATAGAAAGTGTCCTGTTGAGTTATAATGTTAATGTGTTTTTAATAAAGGAAGAGAGGGTTGTTGAATCAGAAACTCCTCTGGTTCTTGCTCAGTCTTCAGCCCCAGGAGGATGGGTGGTACTTTCTGCTCTTTAATCGAGCTAACTCACTCTTTAGGTTTTTTTTTTAAACCTGGATTTCCTGGATTATCATCCTCACAGGTTCTATCCAGCTGGGAGATGTTTGCCACAGCCACCAGAAACTTTGTGGAGGAAGTGGATCGTGGAGGTTTGTTGATCCCAGTGTCCAGCCTGAATGACACTATTGATCTTCTGACTGTGGTGGTGAAGCGCAAGCGTTCCTGGCTCTGGCAGAAGCCCAAGTACATTCCCACTGACTTTAACCTCAATGATATACTAACAGGGGACACGCCTATAAAGCCAGGTAAACGTCAATTCCTTCTATTCTTATAATGAATTGTGTTGATTTATTCTTTTAAACCTAAAACATCTTTTTGTGTACTTTCTGACTTTGAGGATCCCCTTGAAAACAAGATGGTACATCTCAAAGGGGTTATTCCTAAAAAAGAATTTCCAATAAAGGTTTCACTGTCCACAGGTGTCATAGAGGCAGACTTCATCAAATACAACGGGACGTATGGTGACAACATTCAGGGAAGTGTGGATGCAAATTTTGCCCACTCCAATGTGAACCTGCAGGGTAAAGACTCTTCCAAACTCCAGTCATCTTTTGGCAGTTTGAAGAAAGAGGAAGTGGATGTGCAGAAGCTGCTGCGAGACTCCAAAGACAGGTTCGTTCTCTGCCTGTTCCCAAGGTCCTGTCTGAAACGGTGTAAATATCACCTGACATGCAGTCCGTTAAGGATCTGCAAACTGCAGGAATGATCTTTGTCCAACCATAAAGTTGCACACAAAACTCAGTTGAATATTAACACTCAGAAAGAGATTTCTTGTTTTGGTTTAGGGTGAATAGTTTTTGTATTTATGTATTTAGAATCACAATTCCCAGTATGTATAAATCTCATATTTCTAAGACTGTTCCCTGTAAAACATAAAACTGGTGTTTTTTTTTATGATTTCAATGTCTCAGGGTCCTGGACATGTCCCACAGTCTGGTCCAGCAGACAAAGGAGAAGCCCAAACAGGCGTTTGGGATTGTGAAGGAGCGAATTGTGACCGCTCAGCCCTGTTCAGTCATAGAGGAGGTGCAGCAGGGAGGACAGTGGGGAGGAGTACTGAGCCTCTGCGGGCCCAAGAACTCAAAGGTACGGTAACAGCGCTGAAGAACTCATTTATTATGATCAAATGTAATTTTATGTGGTGTAACGGTTGATATAACAACAGAAAAACTGCCAACCATTTGTGGAAAATTAGATTTCTCCTCCACTTTGATAATTTGGTTCCTCTCCTCTCTGGTTTCTCTTGTCAGTTGTAAAATGTTCAGTGCGGAGGCAGAAGTTTTTGCTCTTTGATTCAGAGAGACTGAATCAAAACTGGGCATTCACTGTGCATGTCCTAAATAGATGAACATGTTTACTCATTCCCCCATCCTTTGGAATCCAATACACCAGCAAATGGCAAATGCAGCATGCATCACCAACAACTGTTATTCAGCAGGAATAAATTGTTTTAGAGTAAATATTTCCTTTATGACTGAGATTCGTTGGAATTTGTGTTTGCTTTCATGTGACTGCTGCAGGTTTCATTGAAGGAGAATGGGAGCTTGAGTAAAGACAGTAACGTTACCATGGAGATTCCCATCCACACTACCATTGCCTATGCCCTTATTGAGCTAGAGATCAAACAAGATGGACGCTATGGTGAGAAACCATTCACTGAATTCATAGATGAACTGGACTTGCAGACTTACTGCAGTTACATTTCATATCTGGGTATTTTAAATGTAACCGGTTGTGTTCTCCACAGAGATGTGTCTGATGTCATACACCACTGGAGGTTTTGAAGTAGATGGCCCTGCTTGGAAAAGATTGTTTGGTGCCTCGGTAGCTCCTGTGGATGCCCCTGACCATAGCCACCTTAGACAACGTAAATTACAGGTTTTTTCTGCACCCATGAAACATGTAACTATAGTTGTTGCAGCTGATGACGTGTTCAAAAGTGCATGTTGTTTTCAAGTCCTTTTAGGGCCTCTAGAGATTATAAGCCCAGAGCTGTCTTATCAGAATGGTGTCATAACTGTTCGTTATCATGTGCTTGTCTATGTAGTTAGTCCTTATTGTGCTGCCCTGGTTCAGTGTTTTTAGTGACCTGTTGCATGCATATATTTTGTCTTCGTAGGTGAATGATAAGTGTGTCCATTGTGTTTTTTTCCATTGGCAGAGCTGGAGGAACTGAGTGAGCATTACCAGCTGCTTTCTGCTCTCCCTGTCTCCACAAGGTCGTCTCTGCTCCAGCAGATCACAAAAGTTATGGAGGACAGAGAGGCAGTCAGTTCACTTCAGAATGTGGTATGTGGGACAGAGAGGGCGTGTCAATAGAGAGCCACTGTTATACTGTGGAGTTAGCGTAATCAACTTCTGTTACATTGGCTTTTAAATCTGGGTTTCTTCCTCTGTCTCAGCTGGACCAGATGTGCCTCGGTCAGATACCTCCCCCGGATGATGTTACGACCACGGAGTCTCAAAAACAGAACATCCAAGCAATTCTGGACCTTTTGCAGCAGTCTGGTCAGGTGGAATTAACACAGGCAGGCCAGTCCACACCAGTCCTCACAGCCATTCACCTCATTGTCAGCGCCATGGATGGTGAGAAAGCTGTGCTCTGTGCTGTGCAGCCTTTACTTAAGTGAAATATTGCTTAAAGTCTTCTGTGAAGTCGATCTGTGGTAGAAAAAAAAAAAAAAAAAAATACTCAATTTAAAGGTCAGAAGGAGGAGCATGCAGAATGTCCTGAAAACCTAATTTTCCTAAGTTATCCTGTATCTGGGTCTTTCAGAAATGACAAATGACTGTCTTGCTGTCTTGGGGATGTGCTGCAGCTTCACAGTGTTGCAGGCTCTGGAGCTACTGGTTAGTAGTCATGATTTATGTTATATATATATATATATATATTTATTTTTTCAAATTTAGACATTACATTGATGAAGCTGCCTTTTATCTCCCTGTCACACTCATTCCAGGTTCAGTGCGTATCGAGGAAGGAAGAGTTGCCTCTGAGCAGCGCAGGCCTGGCTGCACTGACTGAAGATGTCTATGAAAAGGCTGAACATCTGTTTGCGTCCTCGAATGTGTCCCTGAAAAGAAACGGGGACACGGTAAAGACAGAAATAAACCAGCAGCCAGGAAACCTTCCTCTGGTCCTATGTATCGCTGTCAGAGGTCTTGCCACATTGTCCCACTGTGATTGACGATTTTATATCCACCAGAAACAATAACTATCACCTGGAATGAGGTAAATGGGATCACATAGATCAAGTGTTATTTATCAGTGTTTCTTACTCTTTTTGGTGCTGTTGAATTTCTTCTAAAATAGTGTAATTAATTAATGCTTTGGTCAATTAACAGACAATCAATTGACCAATTGTCAAACATTTTGACAATCAGTTAGTTTAGGTCATGGATTTTGGACTGTTGGTGGAACAAGCATTTTGAAGACATAATTTTCACTGATTTTAGGGGGAAAAAACAATTGATTATAATCATAAAATAATCAACTTTAAGATTATTCAAGTAAAGGATAATACTCTACAAGTTGTGCGTTTCTAGAAAGTAATCCACATCAAAAGAATTGTCAGTGGCCATGGTACAATGAAAAATAACCAAATAACTATTATACGGTCACATCTGAATTCATGTGCACAATCTTTGATGTAGAGCTTTAACTAGAATGTACCTGCTGGTGGCATCAGCATCAATCTGAACACTTATTTGAATATAATATTCATTTTAATTTCTGAAAGAAAATGAAAGAATAAGAGTTCACTGAAAGGCCCCTTACCATCTTATTTTGAGCAATGTCACTAGAGATTAATGTGCCTAGTATCTAAAAGAAGCAAAACTTTTTTTTATTGAGTTCTCATTTTTATGTGATTGTGATTGTGATTGTTCCTCATACATTTTAAAGTATACACTAATTATTTCTGAAGGGTCTGTGGGATATTTTGTACTGATCTTATATCTTTAAAGCTTTAGATTGTTTATCTGTATTTCAACTTACTTCTATATTTTCCTCTGTTAAATATTGTTCAGTCAGTTATGAAGATTTTGTTTGACACTTCCACATAAATCCATAGCATTGTCCTCCAAATGTTTACGTTCCAACTACAAACCTCATTCTGAATCACTTGAGCACATTTGTGTATGAATATTGAAACTTGTCTGAGTCTGAATGTGCCTTTAATATTCCATTGTTTCAACATGCTACCTTTTATCTGTATCGCTTTTGTATGTTTATCTCTGTGGGCCAAAAAGAAAAACATATCACCTTAAAGTAAACAGTTTCTATATTTTATCATTTATTTTATGTTTTATCTGGTATATAATTTTTTCTCTTCCAGTTTACGAACCTTTTGAGTACATGTTTGTCGAGTAATTTTTCCAAAAGAACCAAGGAAAACTAAAGCGGATCATTAGAAAACACCAGTTATTTATTTGACATCTGAAAATACATATTTTCTGAAATCTTGTAAAATATACCTTTTTATAAGTCAATATGAATTTTATTTAAAACCGTTAAGTTTTAGTAATATCACATCAAAAGGGATGGTTCACTGAGATGCAGTACCCTGTTCAAGAGTCATGTGGAAAGTTTCTCTTTCTTCCAAACAAACACGAACAAAGCACCATATCGACGGGTCTAACGGCCAGAAACACTCGCATGATCCAAATGTCTGACAAACAATCAACATAATTAATGTAATCTGTTGTGCTTGAGTGAAAGAGAAATGGGGTTAACACTACAGTATTACTCCTTCTTCTGTACATCAAACAGTGCCTGGCATGACATTTCCCATTTATGAGGTCCAACTGCAAAGACGCTAGGGCATAAATGTAGCCCTGAGGAGGGAAAAGGTCTTAAAAATATGATACTATACTACATGAATGCGTTTGTAGATTGAAGGTTTGTACAGTAGCGACAAAATGAGATGAATTACTGGAGGCATATGCACTGTAAACTGTGACACTGAGGTATCATTCTTTTCGATGAGCAAGCCCTCCTCAATTTGCAGAATAAATACATTATCTTACATACAGATGTAAAATTAAAACAGGACATGACAAAAATCTCATTTGCTTTTAAAACATACTGACACTTGGGTCACTATTTTCTTCCAATCCCACATGAATAGAAAGTATTCTTTAAAAAATATTTTTGCCAATAAATAAGTACACTTCCTGTGTGTTGTGAGTTGCATAGTGTGCTAGAGAGGAATCTGGAAATTCAGATCAAGGTGACTCAGCTTTGTGATGCAGTTTTTGTGCTTGACCCAAATTCACACAGGGCCGATGTCCAACACTTTGTATGTGAAATACAGTGTTAGATCCTCCTTCCCTTCAGGTGTCCCCTTTCATTCCAGGCCCAGGAGCTCGGACAGCATGTCCATCCAGTCAGGGTGGTCAAACATCAGTATACCCAGCTGACTGGAACCCACTGCGGCTCTATAAATAATCGCTCTACCACCTCCTGAAGCTTGTCAAAGGCCTTGTCCAGATTGTCATTGACAATAGTCAGGTCAAAGTAGTGGCTGTATGCCCGGCGGATCCTGGCACTCTCGTCCACTGTCTTCTTCAAATCGTTTTCCTGTTACAGAAAGAGAATCAGCCCATGGATGATGGACGCAACAATCATTCATGAGCAATGAAAGGTCCATCATCATTTATAGAAGTATTTAGGAAGCTTAAATCCCCTCAAAACTTACCGTGAGTAACTTGGTCGTAAGTCCAGCATCTATCACAGCTTTGTGCATAGCTCTTAGTGTGTCCAGTTCAGGAGCAGCAATGAACACCACAAATGGCATAAACTCAGCAGTCTTCAACACTTTCAGGGCCTGGGGAGAAAATATAATGTGTAAGACCAAAGATTTAGGAAAAAAAGATCTGAACAGTGAGAGTGTGTGCTTTCGGCTAACCTGAGGGTTGACGTCCAGGATGCAGGTGCGACCTGCGTTCACCACTTCATGGATGGAGTCGATCTTGGTGCCATAAAGGTTGCCGTCGTACTCTCCGTGCTCCAGGTAACGGCTCTCCTTGATGTCTTTCTCCATCTCTTCCCGCATCACAAAGCAGTAGTTCTGGCCGTCTCTCTCCTCTTCCCTCGGGCGGCGTGACGTGACTGTGGGTAAAAAGGTGAGGAAAGGGGTTACATGTACCCAGACAGGAAATCTACTATTTACCATGGCTGTCTGTTTCACACACTCACAGGGTACAGTGGTTCCATATCGCAGAGGGTTCATGACAATAAGTCTGTTCTTCAGGCTCCGCCTCCCAACTCCCTGGGCTCCAATCAGAACCAGCGTTTTCCTCTGAAACGGCGGCATCTTGGCTACCTCCTCATAGATCTGCAGCTCATAGCGGTCAAATTCTGTTCAAGGGAATACACAAGCTGGATGAGTACCGTATTGTCACGGTTCACAAACGTTTCACAGCATCTCTTAGGGAAACAGGAAAATTAGAACCAGTAGGAATACACACCTGCATTCTTTGAAGTGAGGTACATCATTTTTTTCTTCTTTTTCTTCGCAGTTAGAGTTCCGCAGAGCATGCCTGAAACGAAACAAATTAAAGTGTCAGATTACCACATTGTAGTACTAAAGGCAAGAGTTTCCTGACTATCATCATAACTAAACAAGAGTAGCATGGTGAGTTAACCTGTACCAGAAGTATCAGAGTCTCTTCTCACAAAAGCTTTCCTCTTCTCCTCCAAGAACTGACTGGGGATGAGACCAGTGGCTCCACCAACAACTTTCCGTGCCTACATGGAAGTGCACAGTAGTTAGGAGATGCTGAGAGATAATTGGTTTAAATACTTTACTTAAAAAAAAAAAAGTGAAGCATTTGAGTCTATCTGTCACAAACTTCTTCCTCCTCATCCATAGCTGCCTATAGCAGCTTTCAACACCGAGTTTTTCCACCCCACTTGCAGCACTGTCCTTCACTGCTGAGCGAAATGTGCCTACTCACCTGCCACCAGTTGGGGTCCTCCTTGTTGACTACATGGAGGATGTCTCCCTTGAAAAAGGACAATCCTGCCTCTTTACAGGGGATCAAGTTGTCTGTGGCCGGATTATAGTTGAAGTGTGGCTTCAGATAAACCTACAATTTAAGGTGTGTGCAAGATCAAACAATTAAAATTAAAAATTAAATAAAAATACAGAGAGCATACACAACAGGACCAATGTCGGTGTTTACATTGTGCTCTTTTTCTGCGTCATGTTTGATATTTTTTAAGCGTCAGTATCAGGTTTTTTATTTTTAAAAGATTTTATAGTCCACATTTCTGTCAATGCTCAAAGGCAATAGGCCGAATGAGGTTGATGAACACTGACCACAACTTTGAAGAGACCAGTGTGAGCAGTCGGGAACGTTTTTCAATGACAAGATCAAAACAAAACTGTTTGTCACGTGTCTGTCAGTGGACTTTGATTGAACTGAAATCTAACAAGCACATAACCAAACAGAAGAATTAGAGTAACCAATCTTTCTCGTCACAAAGGTCAGTGTCTGACATAACCCTACATACTGCTCCTCCGTGTCAGCTGCTGTGTGTGCCTGTTACTGTAAGAGTGGGAGGGTGGGGGCGCTCCAGTGAATGGTGTGGTGTATGTCCCAGATAGTATGTGGAGTGTTATTAATAGACCCTTCCTTGGCTCAATTTTCAGAGGCCTGGCATTCTGAGATCACCCAGGTCACGCAGCTCTCACCCAATCCCTGACAGGTACAGTACGACCTAAGAATCTTGTACACACCCGGACATACACATCAACACATCCTGTATTCCAGCACGCATAACGCACTGATTTCAAGCTTTCAATCTCATTCAAAAGCGCTCGTCCAAGTATCCAATATTACTGATTCGCCAGTGCAGCCATGCAGCCTTCCCCTTTCCTCACCTGTGGAGGTGCCGGTGTGTCTCTGTAGCTCGGCAGGACCTTGAGTGTGATGCTCCCACTGCAGTCCCTCAACAGCTCCTGGAGTTCACGGGGGTTGCTGCCGACCTCACGACCATTCACCTCGCGGATTATGTCCCCTGTGTGCAGCATGCCCTGCCTGTCAATCGAGCTGCCATGCAGGATCCGTGCAATCACCATCTCTCCCCGCTCCACTCGGAACGTCACACCCTAAAAGAGAGTAGGAGTCATTTAATATCATACATTCGCACTGCATAAATCACACAAGAGGTCTATTTTATGGGGATGGTCTGTCTTGGTTGCTGTAAAAGAAGCAACTTATGTTGAGTTACTATGTAAAATTGAGTCACCCTGTTCTAGCAGATGGTCAATGAAAGAGGATGTGTAAAATACTTAACAACCTAACAGGAGTGTCACATGTTTCCCCTGCAGAGCTGCGGTTGATATAAATGCCATGCTAACTTACTAGTGGTTCCCCAGCTTTTTTCTGGATGCCAATCATCCTGACAGCATCAGCGGGCATAAGTGAACTCGTCATCGAGGCATCGCTGTTCACTGCAGCATGGGGCATTTCGTAGCACTTTGCAGCCACTTTGTCATGAGCCTCGATCAGAGACTGTAGCAGAAAAAAGAAGAACAAGAGAGAAACATATAGACAGAAATAAGACTAAATCTGGTTCACAGTCACTGTACTCTTAAAAGGTATATTTTCAAAAAGATTTCTGACTAGAAAAAGACAATAATCACCTCTACCGTTAGGCTCATTCACCAGAAACCAACAGTGACTGACACTAGCACTGGCATTTGATTTATGAGTTAAGACATAAATTACTTTACTGCACACATTCATTTATAAAAGACGCCTTTATGACTGCATTGACAGATGACAAAGTGATATATAGAGAAGATAAGTCAGTCTTGTTCTTACCCTAGCAGCCACAACATAGAGTTAGCATTGGTCAGAGACTACAAACTGCATCAGCAAATGTGAAGATTTACTGAAACAGTAGGGGACACAGTATTCTCCCCCTGACTTTACCCACATAACTCAGCCTGCTATTGGCCCAAGGAAATACAACCCCACCCTCCCATGTTGCAGCTTGTAAGTGGTCGAGAATATAAAGGCCGACAAGGGAGCAGAGCTGGTTGACCTCCTGAGCTGCCGGCACTTCAGACCGCTCACTCGACAAATCTCTGGTCTTTTCACACCTCACTGAACCCAGAAACAATTGTGTACAAGCGCAATGTTGTCTAAGATACCTTAAAGTGAGGCTCCTGAAGGATTTTGGCAAGCTCAGCAACAGCAGCATCTTTTTCTGGCAGGTTGTTGAGGGAATCCAGGATCTCTGTGACCAGCTGAACATTAT